TTTTTTTTAAGTGCAGCTCTTCACTTTTTAAAAAATCCACCTGGAAGAGAAGAAACAAACAAAGCATTTAATTCAAATTCATTCCTGAGATAAGTGAACAACCAGACCTCAGGCCAGGTTCACACAGGGCAGTAGGCAGCTGCCTTGCTTTGACTTTGGGACCAGCAGGAAGGGTTGTGCTTTCCTTCCTTTCACCTGTGGATTCACCAGCAAAAATAAATTCTGTACATGTCCTCTGCCTTTAGAATTTGTCTTCTAGGTGCTGGACCCACTTACTCTGGGAGCATGTATGTCTTACCAGTGGACACCTTGCCCTAAGAGCAGGTTTTAATAAGGGGCAAAAGGTACTGAGTACTAGCAGATGGAATTCCCTACAAACAACTCAAAATAAAATATCGAGGGATGGCCATTAATCCGACACAAAAGATAACCATATGCCAGATGCTCATCAGCAAATCTTATCTATGTATGAATTTGAGGGATGCTTCCATGAGAAATACCAATACATCACTAGACATGGTGGCCCACACGTATTATCTCAGCACTTTAGAAGGCTGAGACAGGAGGACTGCTTGAGGCAAGGAGTTTGAGCCCAGCCTGGGCAACATAGTAGGAACTCATCTTTTAAAAAAAATGAAAAAAAAAAAAAAAACCAACTAGCTGGTGTGGTGGAGCACAGCTATAGTCCTAGCTACTTGGGAAGCTGAGGCATGATTGTGCCACTGCACTCCAGCCAGTGCAAAAGAGTGAGACCCTGCTGCTAAAAAACAAAACAAAAAGAGCAGCACCCATCTTCCCCGCCCCCTCCCCCAAATGACAATAACAATAACTTTCAGCAAATTTTTCATGGCACAAAGAGTGACTTTGCTCTTCTGCTCACTTACCTTCAACTTGGGTTTCTGATCCTGGTCATGTACTTGTCTGGGCTGGCAGCGCTCATCACTGTGGTATAAAGTGTGTAGCTGAAAAGGAGGGGAGGAACTTTTACATACACACCATTTCCCCTAATATGCCAAAGAGGGAGATAAAAACTACCAAGTGCTTCCATAACACTGGGGATCTAGGACAAGACTACAAATAGAGGTCCATTAATGTCAGAATATTTAAAATATTTGGTTGCAGAGTTCAGACAGGCCTATTTTGACAACATCGTGAAAGGGCAAGCTGGAACTTAACATCAGATTCCTGGGAGCTCTACCCTGTGGCAATGAGGGGGAACCCACCCTTGCTCCTCACCCCTGGCTCTGTCCTACCCCAAAGGCCCTCATTTGCAGCCACCCCTGGAACTTCTTTTTGACAGGGCATTCCCAGTGGCCAGCCAGGGAAGAGGACCACTTGGGCCCCAGCAGTGGGTTTGGGGCTGTTCCAGCTGAGAATTCCAGGGTCTTGAGTACTTGGGCCAGAGTCTGGGTGGGCACATGCCTTGGGCCCCGCAGATTCCTTGTGCAAAGAGATAGTAACAGGGAAGGGAAGACCAGACTTTGGCCTCTGAAGCCCAAGGACCAAGGTCCGTTGATGAATGAAGACTCTACCCTCTCCACAGGAGGGCAGCACAGGAGCACACGTGCACGCGCGCGCGCGCGCACACACACACACACACACACACACACACACGAGACCCCTTCCCCTCCTCCTCCCTCTTCTCCCACTGGCCTTGGAACCCAGCTGAGACGCGCCTGGAGCTGGCTTGCTTGGCAGGCCCAATTAGTGGTGCTGGTCCCCACAGCTGAGCTGCACGCCCAGCTGCAGACAGCACTACATGTCTGAGCAGGCGCACAGCTTGCCCTAGGGGAACGGGTTCCCTGAGCAGGACCATGTTCTATTATTCTCCATCACTATTTTAAAACTTTCCCTGAGCCGGGTAGGGTGGCTCTTGCCTATAATCCTAGCTCTCTGGAGCGGTGAGGCAGGAGGATCCCCTGAGCTCTAGAGTTCAAGACCAGTCGGAGCAAGAGGGCGACCTCGCCTCTACTAAAAATAGTAATCCCAGCTACACTAGGGGCTGAAGCAGAAGATCGCTTAAGCCCAGGAGTTTGACGACGCCACTACACCCTAGGGGGTGGGGGTGGGGCAAAAGCAAGACTCTCTCAAAATATATCTATTTTCCCTTGTCATAGCTCTATTCTCCATCACTGTTTTAATGTTTTCCCTACCGCTGATCGCAGCAGAGGGTGGAGTTCTAGCGCAGGTGGGTGTGATTCCGCCGCGCAGCACAAGGGGGCAGCATGGAGCCACCCGCCTTCTCTCAGACAGCTCTGCTGACCTCACACCGACAGCCTCAGCAGAGCCCCACAGAGTGTAAAGGGTTGAGAGTTGGGGTCTTTGTTAATTCTAGCTTCATGGTGACTGTTATTTAAATGCAGTTTTGCTTGAGTTCAGTTATACAATAGAGAAAAATGCTACTTGCTAAACTTTATAATTTCCAACTATTTTATTTTGATAAAAACCATTTCAGAAGCCATTTAAATATTGATAGCCCTTTAACTCAGTAATCCTACTTCTGGGAACTCAGCCAGGGGGAAATATTCCAATACCGGAAGGAGGCGAGTATACGAAATACGTTTATTTAGAGTTTTAATAGAGCAAACACTAATTGGAGAATGCTTAACTCAATTATAATATAGAAATTATTTAAAATTATATGGGCTGCTTGATGAATAGAAAATGCCTTTTAAAATTATAAGGGCTACTTAAATAGAAAATGCTTTGCTTTAATAACTACAACTATTGCATTACAATATTAATTTTTAAAAGACACATTAGTCAAGTCTATAATTATTTTTAAAACTAACAACACAAAAATAATTTTTAGCCCCTATTTTTATTTTTTTATTTTTTGAGACAGAGCCTCAAGCTGTCCCCCTGGGTAGAGTGTGGTGGTATCACAGCTCACAGCAACCTCCAACTCCTGGGCTCAAGTAAGTCTCTTGCCTTAGCCCCCCAAGTATCTGGGACCACAGGTGCCCGCCACAACACCTGGCTATTTTTTGCTTGCAGCCATCCTTGTTGTTTGGCGGCCCGGGCTGGATTCTAACTTGCCACCTTAGGTGTATGTGGCTGGCGCCTTAGCCATTTGAGCCACAGGCACCAAGCCTAGCCCCTATTTTTAAAATGAGTATTAGAAGGGTAAATGTGTGTTCCCTGGGATGGGTACAGTCAAAGGTGCATTGGAACTGGCTCCTACAGGCTGGTGAGAGTGAATTAATTATTAAGTATGCAGGAAGTTTATGAGTCAATTGTAAGCCTAAAATCAGCCATGGTGGGAGAATTTACACCATGGAAGTCAACAAATGGCACAAATCAGGGGTTAACTTGTGTTAGTCCCTGGGCCTAACAATGGGCTAGTTTACTAGCGCACCACTGGGTATGATTTGTTGCCCAAATAGCTCATTTGTTAGAGTGGTGGAATATTGACTACTTTGTTTTCTGCATGTGGCTGTTTTTAGAATATTGTTTGTGGGATAAATTTTTATTAATTTTTGTATTTATACTTAAAGGAAAAAAACTTTCAGAGATATTTTGGTGCAAAGTGAAAAGAAGAATTTCAGTTTTGAAAATACCATTATATCTAAGAAATCTTTTTATTTTATTTTGTTATTTTATTTGAGACAGAGTCTCACTTTGTCACCCTCCGTAGAGTGCTCTGGTGTTACAGCTCACAGCAACCTCCAACTCTTGGGCTTAGGCAGTTCTCTTGCCCCAGCCTCCCAAGTAGCTGGGCCTACAGGCACCTGCTACAATGCCTAGCTATTTTTTGTTGCAGTTGTCACTGCTGTTTTAGCTGGCCGGGGCCAGGTTTGAATCTGCCACCCTCAGTATATGGGGCCGGCGCCCTACCCACTGGGCCACAGGCACTGCCCAATATACCTAAGAAATCTTAAAGCATCCAGGTATCAAAGTTATTCTATATGTCATCAGGTAAACTAGCATTTTGTGTCCGGATAAAATAGGATCATTCCAAAGGAAAAAAATCAACTGAGTATTTGAAACTAAAAATCACTTGGTAGGTTTTAAGTATATTAAGCGACTTCTTGAAGAATAGCATTTGATATTCTTGGAGAAAGAAGTAGTGAGCATGATGAGAAAGGAGGAAATGCTGGGTTCTGGAATTTCCTGAAGTAGAGGAGGAGATAAAACTGTCTTTACCAGCAGAGGTTTCCTATTTTTGTAAATAAAATCTTCCAAAAGGCGTCTGTCCTCCTAATGAGCTGGTCGGAGGTAAGGCAGGCAGGAGTGAGCCCCACTCTGGGGCGACACCTAGTGGAGTCAGTGGTGACTGTGGACCTTCGGAATTTCCTGGGGAGTGGGTGGCCTCTGCCTCTCAGTTCTGAAAGCTCCCTGTGGTGGGTGCAGCCTTGGCCCAGAGCTTCACCTCAGAGAAGTGTGTGGGTAAAATCGGAGGCTAGCGACCAGAGGAGCCTGTGCTCACCAGGGGCTACGTGCACTGTAAGGATGTGGGCTACGAAGGGGAATATGACTTAGTGATTAACTGTGGAACAAGGGACAGCACAGAGGAATCTTTTCAGGAAGCTAAAGGAAAACCAGAGGTGCTCAAACTTTAGTTCTGACAGAGTGAGTGAAGGATCATAACCAGTGAAGGCCGTTCACAGCTGCCAGACTGAGACAGGATGAACACACAACTGCTCTCCTTCCTGGTCATTCCATCCCCTGATTTATGACACATTTGTTTCTCTCTCCTCACCACCCCCAAACGGAATGCTAGGCTAGTCCCCCGAGAGCAGAGACCTGGTTTTGTTCACCTTGGGACCCAGGGGAGTGTACCCACAGCCAGGCCATAGGAGCCTCAGATCCCTACTGGGCCAAAGAGTGTGTGCATGAGTTCACTGTTCTGAGTGGAGATTTATCCCATCACTTACTTGTTATAAACTGGAACAACTGACAGAACCTGCACAGGGAAAAATCATATTACACAGAATATTAAACGGTGGCAGGAAGACAGGTACAATATAGGAAAAGTGTAACTACTTAACACTTTAGCAGATCCTGGGATAATTGTTACAGCTTTCTTAATCCTTTCTCTTTTTTTCTTTTAAATAATGAGCATAACATTATAATGATCCCTTTTTCTTTTTAATATGAAGAAAAACTTAGGTAAAGATAGATACTTTTTTTTTTAAGAGATAGAATCTTACTTTGTCACCCTCAGTAGAGTACTGTAGTGTCACAGCTCACAGCAACCTTCAGCTCTTGGCCTTAAGCAATTCTCTTGCCTCAGCCTCCTGAGCAGCTGGGACTACAGGTGCCTGCCACAACGCCTGGCTATTTTTTTGTTGCAGTTTGTCCAGGACCAGGTTCAAACCCGCCACCCTTGGTATATGGGGCCGGCGCCCTACTCACTGAGCCACAGGTAGTGCCCTAAAGATGGATAACTTTAACTTACATCGAAACAAGTTCAGAAAATGTTATCTGACTTTTTAAAAATGTTTTCAACCAGTCAGATAAAACTTTTACTCTAACACTTCTATCCGCTGCATTTGTTTGATTAGAGCGGGGAATTTTTTTTTTTTTTAACCACTATTAACAGATACACCAAGCCTGGTACGGTGGCTCACATCTATGATCCTTGCACTCTGGGAGGCTGAGGCAGGTGGATCGCTTGAGCTCAGGAGTTCGAGACCAGCCTGAGCAAAGTGAGACCCCATCTCTACTACAAACAGAAAAACTAGCCAGGTATTATGGGCGGCCACCTGCAGTCCCAGCTACTTTAGAGGCTGGATCATCTGAACCAAGGAGTTTGAGGTTGCTGTGAGTTCTGACAACACCATGCACTCTAGCCAGGGGGACAAAGGAGACTCTCCCAACAAACAAACAGCAAACATCGAATAAGCTAGGCATTGTGACAAGTTACCTGAAAAAGCGCCTCCAGGCTGAGGTGAGCCTGCCCAGTGGCATTAAGGGCTTTGATGGTAGGCGTTCTGTAAGGACAAGAGTCAAAAGTCACCTCAGGAAGCCCCAAGGCTGCTATTTTTGGAGGCACAATGTCTCCAAAAGAGGGGGACACTTACTGCAAACACATGGGGCATGAAGGCCAAGGAGAGGTAGAGGGCTCCTGGGGGCCATGCTGATCCCATCTTTCTAATTATAGAACTTCTACAATTAGAAGGGACAAGGAAAGGCCTCCACTGGTTTATTTATTATTTAAAGGAAATAATTTCCTCCTGAAAAAGTCTTATATAGAAGACCGTGAATCTATAATTTTAGATAATTTTTATAGGGCCTTATTTTATTTTTCAGATGGATGAACAGAGTGAGTCATTTGCAGGGCCGATGGGGGGCTGGAGGGCTCCTGACCCTGGGACCAGGGCGAGTCAGCCTTCCCAACACCCAACCAGCTGCCAAGAGGCTCTGACCCTGGCTTTCCTCCACACACCCCCGACCACCTCAAGGTTTGGTGAGGGTGCCCGGGCGTCTTTCCTGGGGGAAGACAGCACATGGAGGTCTGTCCAGGTTCTGCAGTGGGAGGGGCAGCGCCGACTGGGAAGTGCATGGGACTCTACCTTCGGTCATCATGCTTGGGTGCTGGCTTCCAATGGTCATAATTTGTCTCCACTCGGAACCACCTACAACAGAGTAGGTCATCTTGTCCTATCCAGGGTTACTTAGGACATAGGTAATGAAGAACTATTAAAAACAATTTAAATATTAAAATATCCTGTTTCACCAATTAAAAAATAAAGAATATTTGATATAAAATGACCAGAGCTTTCAATTCTACTCACGCTCCATTCAAAGGATCTAGAGGCCAAATGTCCGCTGGGCCACCTCTGTTCCTTGTGATGACCACTCCCTCCTGGGAGGACGTGCCACCAACGATGTAATAGACGTCAGCAATCAGGGGAGTCTTGGCCAATCTGAAAACAGCTGCTTCAAAGTTTTCTGACTCACTCAGGGTCTGAACAGAAAGATGAGTGTGTGTGAGCAGTGCAGCCCAGGGCAGTGGTCCACCAAGAACAGGCTGAAGCATCTTATCTTGCTATATTAAGCCATGGCTGTCCCCTTAACCTGCCCTGACCTTACTCTCTTGTCATCGGGGCTCCTGAGAAGGAAGAAATCTCAGCTTCCACAGGGAGCCAATAGCAGTGGGAATTTCTGACAAAAGGCAGGAGCTATTGATGAGTCCTGGGCCCAGCCCACCAAACACGGGCTTCAAAGAGAAGTCAGACTGGAGAAAGTGGGGTCTGCAGGGTGAGGAGTTGGGGTGGAACGAGAGTTCTAGATCAGTGGATCAGATCTGCAAAGGCTTCAGGACGACAGCATGTGTGTTGCACCAGAGCCCTGAGCCTGGCTGCTGTCTGACACCCTGGAGGGCCCACGAATCTTCCAGAGGTCCACAGAATGGATGCCTGAGGGAATCACAACCCCAAATCTTCCGCTTCCACACGTGCTCCTTTCCTGAGCTGATCTGCTCCGGAG